TGTAGACGCAGTTTGACTGAGATTCTTTCATTTGGAGAGAGTTCTTAGTTGAAAGACTAGCTCTTCAGTTTCGTTTTGTAATATTTGTACTTAAAGACGTTCAACCACAGGATATTCATATCCTTGGTATTTGATTATACTTCAGTATATTATATGTATTGTTATATTTCGTTCGTCTTGAATCATAGTAATGAATCTGTATATTTATCAACCTTTATTCTATAAATAAGTAGTGTTCGGTCTTACACCAAGCGCTCCGTACTAAGTAGTGCTCGGTCTTACACCAATTCGCTCGTAATAGTTAGTGCCGGTCTTACAACCAAGCGCTCGCTATAGAAGTGCTCGTCTACACCAGGCGTTAGTTCTATTTCCGTATCTATCTTTCTATAATAAGAGCGTTCGTCCAAACTCAATATGTTCGCTCTCTACAGTGCAGTGCCCGGTCTTTCGACTGACATTCGGTTCCTTGATGTTTAATCATTAAGAAGCTAAGTATTTATTGGCGTTCGGTTTCTTCATATGATTCCGTCAATACTACTTATTTGATGTCCTACAATATCTGTCTAATTGGTTTCGGCCTAGAGTCTTAGTACTCGGCCTAGGCTTTACGGTGTTCGGTTTGAACTCTCAAGAGTCAGTTCATAAATTGGCTCACTTGGAAATAACGTTTGATTCTATTAGTCTCGGTAAGTAATTATTGTATTTCGGTCTTTCACAACAAGTGAGTACTCTCTCGATTGATCTAGTTTTTGAGTTGTGGACATCTCCGGTCTCACTCCAGTTTTCAGTCTCGTTCTGGGTTAAAAACTAACGTCGGATTGGTATCCACGGGATCTTTATTCAATTGGTTAAGTTGAGGTTTTTAATGATGAAGTGATGGAATATGATATGGATGAAATGACTTGATATGAAAGAGTATTCCGGGAAGGAATATCTCATGAAGGGATATTGGAATTGGTTAAAGTATGAATGTGGATAAAGTTAAGCTGGCGGTTCATCCTGATATTCCATGATTACTCGTTCTCACGTAGAGAAAGGTAAGTCATGTGTGGGAATGACAGGAGGTCCTAGTCCTTATAGTTAATTTGGACAGACAGGACTAACCTCGGGTGGCAACTGTTGAGGGTATCCCAGTTACTACATCACCCGGGTGCACGAACGTCGTAGCTACACAGAATTCATACAGTTCGGACAGTCAGAGTCTAGTATTAGGCTTTGCATGAAAGAGTTAATTATTTATCTTGTTTAGTTGATTGTGTGAAATATATGATGATACATGTATTAAATTACATAAGTTTACCCTATTTTCCTGTCTTGTCAGTTTTGTATGTTCGGTTATTGTCCTGTCGCAATGATCATCCGTGTGGATGTGAGCAAAGGAGAAAGAGTGCTGGAAGAAGCGCTAGAAGAAGAAAGTTTGGTCGAGGGTAGAAGTTAAGACCGAACAGTAGAATCGTTCGGTCAGTAGTCAATTTAATTGTACGATGGACCGTTCAATCATCTTTTACCTTTTTCTTTTGTATGACCGTTCGGTATAGGCCTTTTGTACAATTTTAACTTTCTTTGTACAGTTTTAACTTTCTCGTTATTCTGTAAGGTCGTTCGGCCATAAGCGTACGTCCTATGTTTTGTAAGACTGATCTGTAATATTATTAATATGTGATTATTCTATTATATAGTTTTATATTGTATTTTTGTGAAGTTATATGTGATCAAAATTATTATTTTTGGGATGTTATATGTGATCAAAATTATTATGTTATTGGTTGCGATGTTTTGTGTAAAGTTTATATAGACTTTGACGATGTATATTTTATAAACTTAATATAATAGTATATATAATATATATATATATATATATATATATATATATATAGATAATATATATATTCTGTGTGTGTGTGTGTGTGTGTCTACTTCATAATATTAAAATTGGAAACGTCACGTTTTTCAGATATGAGATTTTCTCTATCAATTACTAAAAAGTGATACCAATGCTAAATGTGCTTCGTGGAAAGAAATAGAAAAAGTAAAAAATTGACTGGGACTTGCAAGGAGCAAAGAAATAGATGATTATTAGGCAGATTAAGAAAATAGATAAGTGGATGATGAGAGTGAATTAGATGAAGATAAAAGGCTAATGTGTATGAAGTTACTTAGTGAGCTAAATCAAATACATATCAAAGAAAACTCAATTTTAAGACAAAAGGCAAGGGCCAGCTAGTTAAAACAGGGAGACACAAACTCCAAATATTTTTTCCATTCTAAAATTAGACGGAGAAGAATAAATAATGAACTAAAGGTGTGGAAATACAAGGCAGTTGGTGTGAGGAATCAACTAAGGAAAAAGAAAGGATAAAGGGCTTTTTCGAAAACATATTTAGGGCTTCTGGTAATAGTAGAATCACATTTGATAATATTGAATTTTAATCTATAATCCCTGTTGAGAACAACATAATAGTGATATTGAGGACAAGGAAATTAAGGATGCAATTAATGAGTGTGGGAGTGAAAAGAGTCTTGTCCCAAGTGGGTTTAATTTTAATTTTATGAAAAATATCTGGGAAACAATAAAGTAAGATCTTACCAAGTAGTTCAATGGTTTCAACGGACTAGGAAAATATCAAGTGGTTTTAATGTATGTTTCATAGCACTAATACCCAAGAAAAACAACCAAATACACGTAAATGAGTTTAGGCAAATATCTTTGGTTGAGAGTGTTTATAAGGTAATCTCAAACAAATAGGATGAAAAGAGTGCCTTCAAATGTCATAGATACTTCTCAATCAGTGTTCATTTTGGGAAGAGTTTTATTATGGTGTTGTATTTTCTTTTGCAAAGCCAATTGAGGAAACACGTTTTCATCATTTTAATAGACCCCTAAGAGTAACCAATAGTCAAATGAATGTGTTATTCATATACCCTAGAAAATGACATCAGGGTTCATAATATAATGCATGCACAAATTGATAAATTTTAACAAAATCAATGACAACAATAACACCACTACGTGAAGATGATGATTGTCCCTTACGAGGAAAGATATCGACAATGTCATGCATTGATTGTTGGATAAGCTGATAAATGCCAATTTACACTGAAAAAAAAAATATAATTTATGTTTGAAATAATCATCCACTTATTATATTGTAATTAACATCTACTTTGTTGTCAATATACGAAGATGAGCTTGGCTTAACCAAAGAGTTGATATTTTCAGCTTTTCAGCTAGTCCTTTTTGAAGTTTTCTAGTCAACTAAAAAAATGTACTAATTAAGGGCAACTTTCTTTACTTATGCTACAATACGAATTCACATTGGCTTATTGAATATGGAAACAAAGATGGCACAATATATTAATAAAAAATAGTATAAGCATTCTTTAGTCACAAATATGAGGAAAGTCACAACTACTGTATTGTTATTTTTAGTTTAATCAGTGGTTCTAAGTATTGTGTTAAATATTTTAAAAATTAATTATTTTTATTTGTAGAAATGATATTATCTCAGACATAATTGCATCACAAGTAACAAATATATATATATATTTTACTATATTATATTATGGTAGGTGATTGTGAATTAGCTGTATCAAATTTTTATATATGTTAAAAAGTATAAAATATAGACGCGTATAGGATATCTCAACAAGACACCTCGTTTGATGAGTAGAGAGAATTTTTTAATACAACTTATCTAATATCATAGTTGTTGGAGACCATCATCATGATATATATATATATATATATATATATATATATATATAAGTAAGTTTTAATGTTATTCTTCTTAGAGTAATAGGTTTAAATTTATTGAATGTTTCTTGAATTTTAAGAATTCTTTTATCACGTGTGTCTCTCAATATTAGTTTTTAGAAATTACTGAAATGAAAGGTGAAATACTTGACACTTTAAAGAAATATTTATTAATCAATTAAACAATTTTACAATAGAAAATTTAGTTATATAAAATTAAGTTGAAGAAAACTTTTTCTTAATAATAGAAGAAACAAAAATAAGTTGGGTTTCGTTAAATGAATTTATAGTCTTTCTTTTCATACATTCCACCTTTCTATAGCATTTTAAAACATGGAGAATTATGCAGTAAAAGTATTTATACTTGAAATATAAATGTCTTATTAGTTATTTGATCTTATATTTAGACCTTTTTTTCTTTTACTTTTTTACTCAATTAAGTTTTTTTTTAAAAAAAAATTTAATTGAATCTAAGTTTTTTTCAAGAACGTGATTCTTTTCGTTAAATTGATTTAATATGTTAAAATTGAAATTTGTCACAAAATTAAAATATAAGTTATTTTTTATTTAAAAAGTCTCACATGTCAAAATTATATAGATTTTAACATAAAAGATTATTCAAATATTCAAATTTTAATACGTATAAACTTAAATTTTGATAAATAACACTTTCAAATAATTAATATCACTTTAACATTAACATAGAAAATCATTAAATTTTTTTATAAAAAAAATTAATTAAATAAAAAATAAATATAAATCAAAACTTAAAATATAAATATAAATTTGATGAAATTACTAGCAAAAAAATATAAACAATAAAAGTTATCCAAACTAATTCTGAGTAAGTGAATAATTTAATCGTAACTTATTTAACCAAAGGTTTATCATTAGTTTTGCAGAAGAAAAAAAAGTTTAGATAATGATACTTTGACAATATTTTTTGATAACATTTTAGCACTGTTAATGTGTCATAATGTGATTGGTCTATATTGGTGTTTATGATTATTATTATTGATTGTGAAATAATTTTGGACCTACGTAGACGGTGTTAAAATATTGTTAAAGAAACGTTGTGAAAATATAATTGTCCAAAAGGCTTATCATAGAACAACTTATGACATAAATTCGACACGTATATTAAAACTCAATTGCTTACAAACAAAAGATAAAGGTTTTAGTTATAACTTGATTTAAGGACGTTGAAATTATTTTTCAAAATTATTGTAAATGGGCTAATCATGTACTTTTACAGTAATCAGCGGTAAAAGCACAGATTGCAACGACGTCAAGAAGAGAATGGAAAGGAAGCGGAAGAGGAAGCAGCTGGTGCAGGGCGCTGAAGAACCAAAGCCGAAGCCGGTTCGTTCCGGCCCGACCCGAACCGGAACTGTGAAAGATCCGTTCCCATCCCACGCTCGACCCACCCCGCAAGAATGCGAAGCCGTACGAGACACTCTCTTAGCCCTACACGGCATTCCCCCGGAACTCGCAAAGTACCGCGACGCGGTCCAGTCGGAGTCACCCGAACCTGTTCTCGACGGTTTGGTCCGAACTGTCCTCTCGCAGAACACCACTGAGACCAATTCCCAAAAGGCCTTCGCTTCTCTCAAAACCTCTTTCCCCACTTGGGAACATGTATGCATCAAACGTATTCGTTTGTAATCGCTCGTTTCAATCTTGTTTTTTGCTGTTAGGTTTTAAACGGTGCCGTCTTCTGTGTTGAAGGTTTTCGGTGCTGAGTCCAAGGACTTGGAGAATGCCATTCGATGCGGAGGTCTGGCCCCGACCAAGGCTTCATGCATTAAGAACGTGCTGCGTTGTTTGCGCGAGAGAAAAGGTCAATTTTGTTTGGAGTATCTGCGGGATTTGTCCGTCGATGAAGTTAAGGCTGAGCTGTCCCTTTTCAAAGGAATTGGTCCCAAAACAGTATTCTTCTTTTTCTTTAGCAGTTCTACTTGCCTCTTCATTTTGCAGTTATTCAGCTAATATTCAAGCATTCAAAATCTCAACACTTTGCAGCTCTGTTCAAATTATTTGGCCTCATGGTACTTTTGTATGCCGTTTTGGTCATTGTCATTTGTTAAGACTTGGGAATCATAATTGCTTTTGATAACATCCCTAGAAAATATGTGAGTTTATATTGAATTATATTTTTGTAGATCAAGCAACCTTGTGGTCGCGTACAATATTTCATGCCTGGCTATGCATAAATCTTTGTTGTGTTACTTCTTAAATTGCAGTGTTTCCCTTTTCAATATACCACATATTTTGGAAACTGTGCATCAGAATGTTTTCCTTGTGAATCCTTGTGAAAAACATTTCTCAAACACCGCCTTGAGTCCTTGTGAAAAGTGAGATACTTTTGTTTTAGTTTGNATATATATATATATATATATATATATAAGTAAGTTTTAATGTTATTCTTCTTAGAGTAATAGGTTTAAATTTATTGAATGTTTCTTGAATTTTAAGAATTCTTTTATCACGTGTGTCTCTCAATATTAGTTTTTAGAAATTACTGAAATGAAAGGTGAAATACTTGACACTTTAAAGAAATATTTATTAATCAATTAAACAATTTTACAATAGAAAATTTAGTTATATAAAATTAAGTTGAAGAAAACTTTTTCTTAATAATAGAAGAAACAAAAATAAGTTGGGTTTCGTTAAATGAATTTATAGTCTTTCTTTTCATACATTCCACCTTTCTATAGCATTTTAAAACATGGAGAATTATGCAGTAAAAGTATTTATACTTGAAATATAAATGTCTTATTAGTTATTTGATCTTATATTTAGACTTTTTTTTCTTTTACTTTTTTACTCAATTAAGTTTTTTTTTAAAAAAAAATTTAATTGAATCTAAGTTTTTTTCAAGAACGTGATTCTTTTCGTTAAATTGATTTAATATGTTAAAATTGAAATTTGTCACAAAATTAAAATATAAGTTATTTTTTATTTAAAAAGTCTCACATGTCAAAATTATATAGATTTTAACATAAAAGATTATTCAAATATTCAAATTTTAATACGTATAAACTTAAATTTTGATAAATAACACTTTCAAATAATTAATATCACTTTAACATTAACATAGAAAATCATTAAATTTTTTTATAAAAAAAATTAATTAAATAAAAAATAAATATAAATCAAAACTTAAAATATAAATATAAATTTGATGAAATTACTAGCAAAAAAATATAAACAATAAAAGTTATCCAAACTAATTCTGAGTAAGTGAATAATTTAATCGTAACTTATTTAACCAAAGGTTTATCATTAGTTTTGCAGAAGAAAAAAAAGTTTAGATAATGATACTTTGACAATATTTTTTGATAACATTTTAGCACTGTTAATGTGTCATAATGTGATTGGTCTATATTGGTGTTTATGATTATTATTATTGATTGTGAAATAATTTTGGACCTACGTAGACGGTGTTAAAATATTGTTAAAGAAACGTTGTGAAAATATAATTGTCCAAAAGGCTTATCATAGAACAACTTATGACATAAATTCGACACGTATATTAAAACTCAATTGCTTACAAACAAAAGATAAAGGTTTTAGTTATAACTTGATTTAAGGACGTTGAAATTATTTTTCAAAATTATTGTAAATGGGCTAATCATGTACTTTTACAGTAATCAGCGGTAAAAGCACAGATTGCAACGACGTCAAGAAGAGAATGGAAAGGAAGCGGAAGAGGAAGCAGCTGGTGCAGGGCGCTGAAGAACCAAAGCCGAAGCCGGTTCGTTCCGGCCCGACCCGAACCGGAACTGTGAAAGATCCGTTCCCATCCCACGCTCGACCCACCCCGCAAGAATGCGAAGCCGTACGAGACACTCTCTTAGCCCTACACGGCATTCCCCCGGAACTCGCAAAGTACCGCGACGCGGTCCAGTCGGAGTCACCCGAACCTGTTCTCGACGGTTTGGTCCGAACTGTCCTCTCGCAGAACACCACTGAGACCAATTCCCAAAAGGCCTTCGCTTCTCTCAAAACCTCTTTCCCCACTTGGGAACATGTATGCATCAAACGTATTCGTTTGTAATCGCTCGTTTCAATCTTGTTTTTTGCTGTTAGGTTTTAAACGGTGCCGTCTTCTGTGTTGAAGGTTTTCGGTGCTGAGTCCAAGGACTTGGAGAATGCCATTCGATGCGGAGGTCTGGCCCCGACCAAGGCTTCATGCATTAAGAACGTGCTGCGTTGTTTGCGCGAGAGAAAAGGTCAATTTTGTTTGGAGTATCTGCGGGATTTGTCCGTCGATGAAGTTAAGGCTGAGCTGTCCCTTTTCAAAGGAATTGGTCCCAAAACAGTATTCTTCTTTTTCTTTAGCAGTTCTACTTGCCTCTTCATTTTGCAGTTATTCAGCTAATATTCAAGCATTCAAAATCTCAACACTTTGCAGCTCTGTTCAAATTATTTGGCCTCATGGTACTTTTGTATGCCGTTTTGGTCATTGTCATTTGTTAAGACTTGGGAATCATAATTGCTTTTGATAACATCCCTAGAAAATATGTGAGTTTATATTGAATTATATTTTTGTAGATCAAGCAACCTTGTGGTCGCGTACAATATTTCATGCCTGGCTATGCATAAATCTTTGTTGTGTTACTTCTTAAATTGCAGTGTTTCCCTTTTCAATATACCACATATTTTGGAAACTGTGCATCAGAATGTTTTCCTTGTGAATCCTTGTGAAAAACATTTCTCAAACACCGCCTTGAGTCCTTGTGAAAAGTGAGATACTTTTGTTTTAGTTTGATCAAAATGTGAATTCTGGCAAATGATGCTGTTTCCATCGCAGCCAGTGTTCTGATGTTGATTTTTTTTTTCAGTTTTATGTTTATTTCTTTCAGTTTTTTGTTTGTTTCTCGTTCACAGACAACTGTTATCCAAAATTTTCAATTGACTTCAAAATATTTATACCAAACCTTTTATCTGCAAAAGAAGTGGCAACCGTAAAAATAGTATAAACATCCTTGTACTGGCTTGCTTTGCCAATGATGTTGATTTTCTATTTTTGGACGTAGTTAAGAGCCTCGGTCCAGTTTGTCCTACAGGCCACTCAACGCAATGAAATGATAAGCTTTCTGTCACCATATTTCTTATTTGGTTGAAATATGAAGAAATTTCACCCTCACTGGGTCACTGTTTTCTTTAATCTGTTTTACAAGGAGGATAATCCTATGAGGAAACACTTTCCTTGTTTCCCATTCTTTTTGAGATATCATGGTATATAGGCATTCAGATCGTTGTAAGAGTGCAACTTGGTTTATACTTGCGGTAGATTAAGTATGGCCTGTGTTATTCGTTGGACAAATTTATGTTAATAACACATCAATGATGATTGTATTTTGCATCGTCGCCCAGTAAGCAAACAGCATCACGTGAAAATCTGTAAACTCAATTAAACACAAATTTATTTTCCCTTTCCCCCTTTGTGTTGGTTTCTCTAAATTGCGGGATTGATTGTAGGTGGCTTGTGTGTTGATGTTCAATCTTCAGCAAGATGATTTTCCAGTGGACACTCACGTAAGCATGATTTCATCTTTTACTGTATACTCATATTCATAACACTTGATTCAGTTGAATATTTATGCAGATATTTGAGATTGCAAAAACCATGGGTTGGGTACCAGCTGTTGCAGACAGAAATAAGTCGTATCTTCATCTAAACCAACGGATACCAAATGAACTTAAGTTTGACCTAAATTGCCTTATGTATACGCACGGAAAGCTTTGCCGCAAATGCTCCAGTAAAAAGGGTAACCAGCAAGGAGGAAAAGGTAATGATGAGTCCTGCCCTTTATTGAATTATTGTAAAGAGTAAGATTGAACTTTGAGTGGGGCAAACAAGTTATTTTCCATAATTGATTCTCAAACTAAAAGAATTCAATATGGGCTTCGCACTCTAATCTTGTTACTATTAGAATACTAGGTAGTTTTGACTTAGGCTGTTAGAGAGAGGAACAATTTTTATGACATGAAAAAATGGCCAACAATTGTGTGCTAGTGCATGATGTACTTGCTGGGATTAGATTATCAAAGTAAGCTTTTCCATTTTTAATCTTGTGAAGGGGTCTTGCTGGAAAATGGAATATTGTTTGGATCTCTCTCTTAATAGACATTAAACATGCAGGGCATACTCCATGAATTGCGTATAGTGCATCTCCAATGGGAGAAACCTATTTCAGTTTCTAAGCACACTAAAAGTTATATCTTTGTACTGTCACATCACTCATAGGAAAACTATACATCGTTTTACTACTAAGAAACTTAAGAAGCTCACGTTTATATCCTTTACTCTAATAGTAAGAAATCCACACTTCAAGACATATCTCTTACGATGAGGAAACAGTTCCTTGTAACAAGGAACCTCTTTTTAAGTAGAAATTCAAGTGACGCATAAACTTCTCAGTGTTTTTTTAAGAAACAAATTCGTCATCCCAATGAACTGGTATAAGAGTTGCTCTAAGATGGTCCTTTTCCAACCAGTAAATTTATTCAATCTATATTGATACTATATAATATTAAAATAATCTACGTTTTACCGTTATCCCCAATGACTTCTACAATTCTTTTGTATTTTTCTTTTGTTAAACTTGATTTATGAAGTATATATTATTTTATTTTAAGAAATAAAAATGTATGCTGTAATTAGTTCTTGAGAAGTAGTAGATGAATCTTAATTTTATGGGTACATTACACTTAGGGATGATAATGGGATAGGTTTGACTATTTCATCTTATTTAAAATAAAAATTTATCTTCATTTTTATATCAAATGCATATGAAATTTATGTCCTATGTTCAACCCTCCCTTTCGTAAAACAAAAATATTTATATCTGTTCCTTTACTACTTTAACTATCAATTAAACAATTTTTTACAAAAAATAAAAATCACAGCATAAATATAACATTATTAAACATTTAATGTAAAAAGAAAAAAAAAGTTATATATATATATATATATATATATATATATATATATATATATATATATATATATGTGTGTGTGTGTGTATGTGTTTTAATATTAAATATTAAAAAAGAAATTATAGTTATATAAATACTAAAGGGGTAAAGGTTAATTAATAATCATATAAAAGAGTAAAAATACTAAATATGTGTATTAAAAATAAATTGCAGGATAAAAAAAAGCTAGAATAAGTTTTTTAAGATTTATTTCGTCCTTAAATTTAATTTCTGAAAAGTTTTTTAAGAAAAAGTTAGAATTACAATTTTTTTTCACGATTATTCTAAAAATTTATTTCGTCCTCAAATTTAATTTTTATATCTTTCATCTTTACAATTCATGTAAAATATTTTTCTTGACAAACAGCTTGTAGAGTATTTCTTATATGACAAATAAATTTTTATAGCAAATTATAATATATTTTGTTTCAAAAATGTTTTAAATGACTTTTATAAGGTGCGATCATGAAATATGTATAAATTTAGTCTAAGGAAAAATATATTTAATATATAAATACCTATTATCACATATAATTTAAAAAATTAAGTATTATTCATACCTTCCCTATATATAATTTTTTTTCAAGATTAAGATGATTCAAAAATGCCTTTAAATTCATGTGTCCTGGTTTGATTTGGTGTATATATTTCATTATCTTTTTCATGTCAATTGGTATGGTATTAATGTTTGGCATAATTTTCATGTATTTATGGTGTTTAGTATTGTGTTGTATTAAAGTAGTGACTCAGTCTTAGAGGTTATCCTAACACTCTAATAATCATCAATCTTAAATAGAGAATGAGGGTTTATGGTGAGGAGTAACCAGATATCCTATTCTATTGTTTGATTATTTGGTCCTGGGTGATAGACGGACTAACCTTCAGTGATATTTTGGGTGGGCAAGTTATTCCACCACTACAAGTACAAAACTTGCCATAATCTGATTTCAATACACATATACAAATGATCAAGTCTAAATGTTTTGATTCTATTTAAGTTTTGATTTGAATTGAGAATGTAATTATTATGTATGGTTAAGCTATATTGTGATTGTTTCATTGTAAAAGTTAGCTTATCCTTTGTTTCGTTTTTATGTTTATTTGTATGTATCTTTTGTAGTGATTGATTGATATGATTAAATGATAATGTTTCAATGGAGTAAGTGCTATATAATAAGAAGATTGACGTATAGATAGTAGAGTCAGTTCTTATTTATATTTGAAGTTTTACAAATATTATTTTTAAATATTTAGTCTATGTATAATTGCTCTTAATTTTAGAAATCCATTATATATAAAATTTGTTGTTATGGTTAGATTTAAATAATTGTAATAATATTTTATATGTTTTCTTTTAAGTTAGCTGTTATTATTTATTAAATATATAATAATTTCATAATAATATTAAAATTATATTAAAATGGATGTCACGATAATAATACATAAACTTATTTNAATTTAGTTATATAAAATTAAGTTGAAGAAAACTTTTTCTTAATAATAGAAGAAACAAAAATAAGTTGGGTTTCGTTAAATGAATTTATAGTCTTTCTTTTCATACATTCCACCTTTCTATAGCATTTTAAAACATGGAGAATTATGCAGTAAAAGTATTTATACTTGAAATATAAATGTCTTATTAGTTATTTGATCTTATATTTAGACTTTTTTTTCTTTTACTTTTTTACTCAATTAAGTTTTTTTTTAAAAAAAAATTTAATTGAATCTAAGTTTTTTTCAAGAACGTGATTCTTTTCGTTAAATTGATTTAATATGTTAAAATTGAAATTTGTCACAAAATTAAAATATAAGTTATTTTTTATTTAAAAAGTCTCACATGTCAAAATTATATAGATTTTAACATAAAAGATTATTCAAATATTCAAATTTTAATACGTATAAACTTAAATTTTGATAAATAACACTTTCAAATAATTAATATCACTTTAACATTAACATAGAAAATCATTAAATTTTTTTATAAAAAAAATTAATTAAATAAAAAATAAATATAAATCAAAACTTAAAATATAAATATAAATTTGATGAAATTACTAGCAAAAAAATATAAACAATAAAAGTTATCCAAACTAATTCTGAGTAAGTGAATAATTTAATCGTAACTTATTTAACCAAAGGTTTATCATTAGTTTTGCAGAAGAAAAAAAAGTTTAGATAATGATACTTTGACAATATTTTTTGATAACATTTTAGCACTGTTAATGTGTCATAATGTGATTGGTCTATATTGGTGTTTATGATTATTATTATTGATTGTGAAATAATTTTGGACCTACGTAGACGGTGTTAAAATATTGTTAAAGAAACGTTGTGAAAATATAATTGTCCAAAAGGCTTATCATAGAACAACTTATGACATAAATTCGACACGTATATTAAAACTCAATTGCTTACAAACAAAAGATAAAGGTTTTAGTTATAACTTGATTTAAGGACGTTGAAATTATTTTTCAAAATTATTGTAAATGGGCTAATCATGTACTTTTACAGTAATCAGCGGTAAAAGCACAGATTGCAACGACGTCAAGAAGAGAATGGAAAGGAAGCGGAAGAGGAAGCAGCTGGTGCAGGGCGCTGAAGAACCAAAGCCGAAGCCGGTTCGTTCCGGCCCGACCCGAACCGGAACTGTGAAAGATCCGTTCCCATCCCACGCTCGACCCACCCCGCAAGAATGCGAAGCCGTACGAGACACTCTCTTAGCCCTACACGGCATTCCCCCGGAACTCGCAAAGTACCGCGACGCGGTCCAGTCGGAGTCACCCGAACCTGTTCTCGACGGTTTGGTCCGAACTGTCCTCTCGCAGAACACCACTGAGACCAATTCCCAAAAGGCCTTCGCTTCTCTCAAAACCTCTTTCCCCACTTGGGAACATGTATGCATCAAACGTATTCGTTTGTAATCGCTCGTTTCAATCTTGTTTTTTGCTGTTAGGTTTTAAACGGTGCCGTCTTCTGTGTTGAAGGTTTTCGGTGCTGAGTCCAAGGACTTGGAGAATGCCATTCGATGCGGAGGTCTGGCCCCGACCAAGGCTTCATGCATTAAGAACGTGCTGCGTTGTTTGCGCGAGAGAAAAGGTCAATTTTGTTTGGAGTATCTGCGGGATTTGTCCGTCGATGAAGTTAAGGCTGAGCTGTCCCTTTTCAAAGGAATTGGTCCCAAAACAGTATTCTTCTTTTTCTTTAGCAGTTCTACTTGCCTCTTCATTTTGCAGTTATTCAGCTAATATTCAAGCATTCAAAATCTCAACACTTTGCAGCTCTGTTCAAATTATTTGGCCTCATGGTACTTTTGTATGCCGTTTTGGTCATTGTCATTTGTTAAGACTTGGGAATCATAATTGCTTTTGATAACATCCCTAGAAAATATGTGAGTTTATATTGAATTATATTTTTGTAGATCAAGCAACCTTGTGGTCGCGTACAATATTTCATGCCTGGCTATGCATAAATCTTTGTTGTGTTACTTCTTAAATTGCAGTGTTTCCCTTTTCAATATACCACATATTTTGGAAACTGTGCATCAGAATGTTTTCCTTGTGAATCCTTGTGAAAAACATTTCTCAAACACCGCCTTGAGTCCTTGTGAAAAGTGAGATACTTTTGTTTTAGTTTGATCAAAATGTGAATTCTGGCAAATGATGCTGTTTCCATCGCAGCCAGTGTTCTGATGTTGATTTTTTTTTCAGTTTTATGTTTATTTCTTTCAGTTTTTTGTTTGTTTCTCGTTCACAGACAACTGTTATCCAAAATTTTCAATTGATTTCAAAATATTTTTACCAAACCTTTTATCTGCAAAAGAAGTGGCAACCGTAAAAATAGTATAAACATCCTTGTACTGGCTTGCTTTGCCAATGATGTTGATTTTCTATTTTTGGACGTAGTTAAGAGCCTCGGTCCAGTTTGTCCTACAGGCCACTCAACGCAATGAAATGATAAGCTTTCTGTCACCATATTTCTTATTTGGTTGAAATATGAAGAAATTTCACCCTCACTGGGTCACTGTTTTCTTTAATCTGTTTTACAAGGAGGATAATCCTATGAGGAAACACTTTCCTTGTTTCCCATTCTTTTTGAGATATCATGGTATATAGGCATTCAGATCGTTGTAAGAGTGCAACTTGGTTTATACTTGCGGTAGATTAAGTATGGCCTGTGTTATTCGTTGGACAAATTTATGTTAATAACACATCAATGATGATTGTATTTTGCATCGTCGCCCAGTAAGCAAACAGCATCACGTGAAAATCTGTAAACTCAATTAAACACAAATTTATTTTCCCTTTCCCCCTTTGTGTTGGTTTCTCTAAATTGCGGGATTGATTGTAGGTGGCTTGTGTGTTGATGTTCAATCTTCAGCAAGATGATTTTCCAGTGGACACTCACGTAAGCATGATTTCATCTTTTACTGTATACTCATATTCATAACACTTGATTCAGTTGAATATTTATGCAGATATTTGAGATTGCAAAAACCATGGGTTGGGTACCAGCTGTTGCAGACAGAAATAAGTCGTATCTTCATCTAAACCAACGGATACCAAATGAACTTAAGTTTGACCTAAATTGCCTTATGTATACGCACGGAAAGCTTTGCCGCAAATGCTCCAGTAAAAAGGGTAACCAGCAAGGAGGAAAAGGTAATGATGAGTCCTGCCCTTTATTGAATTATTGTAAAGAGTAAGATTGAACTTTGAGTGGGGCAAACAAGTTATTTTCCATAATTGATTCTCAAACTAAAAGAATTCAATATGGGCTTCGCACTCTAATCTTGTTACTATTAGAATACTAGGTAGTTTTGACTTAGGCTGTTAGAGAGAGGAACAATTTTTATGACATGAAAAAATGGCCAACAATTGTGTGCTAGTGCATGATGTACTTGCTGGGATTAGATTATCAAAGTAAGCTTTTCCATTTTTAATCTTGTGAAGGGGTCTTGCTGGAAAATGGAATATTGTTTGGATCTCTCTCTTAATAGACATTAAACATGCAGGGCATACTCCATGAATTGCGTATAGTGCATCTCCAATGGGAGAAACCTATTTCAGTTTCTAAGCACACTAAAAGTTATATCTTTGTACTGTCACATCACTCATAGGAAAACTATACATCGTTTTACTACTAAGAAACTTAAGAAGCTCACGTTTATATCCTTTACTCTAATAGTAAGAAATCCACACTTCAAGACATATCTCTTACGATGAGGAAACAGTTCCTTGTAACAAGGAACCTCTTTTTAAGAAGAAATTCAAGTGACGCATAAACTTCTCAGTGTTTTTTTAAGAAACAAATTCGTCATCCCAATGAACTGGTATAAGAGTTGCTCTAAGATGGTCCTTTTCCAACCAGTAAATTTATTCAATCTATATTGATACTATATAATATTAAAATAATCTACGTTTTACCGTTATCCCCAATGACTTCTACAATTCTTTTGTATTTTTCTTTTGTTAAACTTGATTTATGAAGTATATATTATTTTATTTTAAGAAATAAAAATGTATGCTGTAATTAGTTCTTGAGAAGTAGTAGATGAATCTTAATTTTATGGGTACATTACACTTAGGGATGATAATGGGATAGGTTTGACTATTTCATCTTATTTAAAATAAAAATTTATCTTCATTTTTATATCAAATGCATATGAAATTTATGTCCTATGTTCAACCCTCCCTTTCGTAAAACAAAAATATTTATATCTGTTCCTTTACTACTTTAACTATCAATTAAACAATTTTTTACAAAAAATAAAAATCACAGCATAAATATAACATTATTAAACATTTAATGTAAAAAGAAAAAAAAAGTTATATATATATATATATATATATATATATATATATATATATGTGTGTGTGTGTGTATGTGTTTTAATATTAAATATTAAAAAAGAAATTATAGTTATATAAATACTAAAGGGGTAAAGGTTAATTAATAATCATATAAAAGAGTAAAAATACTAAATATGTGTATTAAAAATAAATTGCAGGATAAAAAAAAGCTAGAATAAGTTTTTTAAGATTTATTTCGTCCTTAAATTTAATTTCTGAAAAGTTTTTTAAGAAAAAGTTAGAATTACAATTTTTTTTCACGATTATTCTAAAAATTTATTTCGTCCTCAAATTTAATTTTTATATCTTTCATCTTTACAATTCATGTAAAATATTTTTCTTGACAAACAGCTTGTAGAGTATTTCTTATATGACAAATAAATTTTTATAGCAAATTATAATATATTTTGTTTCAAAAATGTTTTAAATGACTTTTATAAGGTGCGATCATGAAATATGTATAAATTCAGTCTAAGGAAAAATATATTTAATATATAAATACCTATTATCACATATAATTTAAAAAATTAAGTATTATTCATACCTTCCCTATATATAATTTTTTTTCAAGATTAAGATGATTCAAAAATGCCTTTAAATTCATGTGTCCTGGTTTGATTTGGTGTATATATTTCATTATCTTTTTCATGTCAATTGGTATGGTATTAATGTTTGGCATAATTTTCATGAATCTATGGTGTTTAGTAGTGTGTTGTATTAAAGTAGGGACTCAGTCTTAGAGGTTATCCTAACACTCTAATAATCATCAATCTTAAATAGAGAATGAGGGTTTATGGTGAGGAGTAACCAGATATCCTAATCTATTGTTTGATTATTTGGTCCTGGGTGATAGACGGACTAACCTTCAGTGATATTTTGGGTGGGCAAGTTATTCCACCACTACAAGTACAAAACTTGCCATAATCTGATTTCAATACACATATACAAATGATCAAGTCCAAATGTTTTGATTCTATTTAAGTTTTGATTTGAATTGAGAATGTAATTATTATGTATGGTTAAGCTATATTGTGATTGTTTCATTGTAAAAGTTAGCTTATCCTTTGTTTCGTTTTTATGTTTATTTGTATGTATCTTTTGTAGTGATTGATTGATATGATTAAAGGATAATGTTTCAATGGAGTAAGTGCTAGATAAGAAGAAGATTGACGTATAGATAGTAGAGTCAGTTCTTATTTATATTTGAAGTTTTACAAATATTATTTTGAAATATTTAGTCTATGTATAATTGCTCTTAATTTTAGAAATCCATTATATATAAAATTTGTTGTTATGGTTAGATTTAAATAATTGTAATAATATTTTATATGTTTTCTTTTAAGTTAGCTGTTATTATTTATTAAATATATAATAATTTCATAATAATATTAAAATTATATTAAAATGGATGTCACGATAATAATACATAAACTTATTTGTTATATATATTTATCGAAATACATAGTTGTCAGGGATAAGTAATGGGAGATAAATTAAGTTAACTCTTATAATTTTAATTATAAGTTTTGAAACATTAGTTGTAATTAGTTGTAATGCTAAGATAATTTACAAACATTACAAATATTTCGAAGCAGGTTTTGTCCTATAGATAGAATTTACGCTCAAAAATAATTTTATCCTACCATGTTATCTCCACCGATATTTACTGAATTTCAAATGGCTGATATGAACACACGTAATAGATGTGAATGTCGGGGACAGTCAGATCAAAGTGTACGTGTGTGTAGACTTCCCAAGATAAGTTTTTGCCCACATCAATGTTGAGGTCTAACATTGACCGATCAAATTATTATTGCAATTAAATATAAATATTAAGGTAACATTTAAATATTAATTTTTAAAGTAACATTTGGTAAAAATTAAAATTAAGAAAATGATTTAGCAGAATGTATAGAAAAAATTACTCTTAAGTGAAAAAGCTACGTAGTTTCTTTCAAATAAAATAGAGAAATTATGAGATTATATTAAATAAGAATGAAAAATGAATTTTTAATTAAAAATAACATAAATGGAACAAGGGATACAGAAAAACAAAAGATGAAACATTGATCAGATCTTTCCCGGTTCTCTCTCGTTCACTGCGACAGCATACCATAATCCGCTACTCTCTTTCCCCTTGGTTTCAAACCAAAGTCTCAAAACCCATGTTTCATCCTCGTCATTACACAACATGTCTGCTTCTTCTTCTCTTCCTTCTCGTACTTTCCGACTTTTCCATGTCCCAATCACAATCCCCTTGGGCGTCCAAGAAAAAACGCATGAAAGAGAAAGTTCGCAATATGTATGTAAATATCACCCTCCGATTCCGTAGTCTTTTTAACATTTCAATTTTTTACCTGTTCTTCTCTTTCTCGGCAATGTTTAGCTCACGCGTCTGAGTTTCGAGTTAGGTATGGGGAAAACACATTAAGAAAACTAGGCTTACGTTTTCCTACCTAAATCGAAGGCGTATTGAACTTATTGATTGTTTTACGTGTCCTGCTACTTCGATCCTTGAATTATACTGATAATGAGTTTTACAGAAGAGGCAATGAAGGTGGTAGGAATTGCCATACCTAATCTTTGAAGTAGGTTGAGTATTATTTTCTTCCCTGGAGAACAATTATTTATTAATGTTGTTGGTTCGTGGCACTTTTTGTTTGTAGGTTTTACCACGCGTATGACAACTATATGACATATGCATTTCCGGTCAGTTTGTTTCTTCTATATTGTCATTTTTCTTTTATTGACGTACAATAGTGTGCAATGTTTAGATTTTCATATTTTTGCAGCATGACGAGCTTAAACCTATCTCTAAAACTTTCACCAACTCCCTGAGTGAGCTGGGAAATTTGAAGGTAATGATATCTCTATTTAAGAACGTAAGAAGAAAATCAGTCATAAAACTGTGGAAATAACTGTTTACTACTGCAGCTTGAACACTTGCCTCAAGACTATAATGGCTCTGCGCTTACACTTATTGAATCGCTGTCTAGGTATGTGTATTCAGCTACCACATGAGTTGTTAGTTTATGTAATTCTGTTTTTATTCAATTTGTCCTGTTTATGATGAGTTCATGTTGTCTATCTTGTTGATGTGGAAACTGATCCTTATTGTTCTTTATTTTATTAGCCTTGTTATTATGGGAAATAACACTGAATTTGAGAGGGCAGTGCTTTGGCTTTCAGAAAATCTTACATTTGATGTTGATGCACGCATAAATCTTTTTGAGGTAAATATTTCGACTTGGTTGAAATTCTTGAGTCCAGAGTTTTGTGTGACATGATGTTAGTTTGCTCTAATTTTGAAAAGGGGATTGCTTAAATTTCTTCGGAATGATATTGAAAAATAATTTTTTTCTAAACACTTGAATTCTTAAGCNTTTTTAACATTTCAATTTTTTACCTGTTCTTCTCTTTCTCGGCAATGTTTAGCTCACGCGTCTGAGTTTCGAGTTAGGTATGGGGAAAACACATTAAGAAAACTAGGCTTACGTTTTCCTACCTAAATCGAAGGCGTATTGAACTTATTGATTGTTTTACGTGTCCTGCTACTTCGATCCTTGAATTATACTGATAATGAGTTTTACAGAAGAGGCAATGAAGGTGGTAGGAATTGCCATACCTAATCTTTGAAGTAGGTTGAGTATTATTTTCTTCCCTGGAGAACAATTATTTATTAATGTTGTTGGTTCGTGGCACTTTTTGTTTGTAGGTTTTACCACGCGTATGACAACTATATGACATATGCATTTCCGGTCAGTTTGTTTCTTCTATATTGTCATTTTTCTTTTATTGACGTACAATAGTGTGCAATGTTTAGATTTTCATATTTTTGCAGCATGACGAGCTTAAACCTATCTCTAAAACTTTCACCAACTCCCTGAGTGAGCTGGGAAATTTGAAGGTAATGATATCTCTATTTAAGAACGTAAGAAGAAAATCAGTCATAAAACTGTGGAAATAACTGTTTACTACTGCAGCTTGAACACTTGCCTCAAGACTATAATGGCTCTGCGCTTACACTTATTGAATCGCTGTCTAGGTATGTGTATTCAGCTACCACATGAGTTGTTAGTTTATGTAATTCTGTTTTTATTCAATTTGTCCTGTTTATGATGAGTTCATGTTGTCTATCTTGTTGATGTGGAAACTGATCCTTATTGTTCTTTATTTTATTAGCCTTGTTATTATGGGAAATAACACTGAATTTGAGAGGGCAGTGCTTTGGCTTTCAGAAAATCTTACATTTGATGTTGATGCACGCATAAATCTTTTTGAGGTAAATATTTCGACTTGGTTGAAATTCTTGAGTCCAGAGTTTTGTGTGACATGATGTTAGTTTGCTCTAATTTTGAAAAGGGGATTGCTTAAATTTCTTCGGAATGATATTGAAAAATAATTTTTTTCTAAACACTTGAATTCTTAAGCACTATAATGTGATTTCCTTATCACTTGATTGTAATCATTCAGTGCAACATAAGAGTTCTTGGAGGACTTGTCTCTGCTCATTTGCTTTTATCTGATTCTTCAAAGAAGTTGTTACAAGGGGCTTACAACAATCAGCTGCTAGTTCTGGCTGAAGATTTAGGGAAACGCTTCCTACCAGCATTTAATACGCCTACTGGATTGCCATATGCATGGATTAACTTAAAGGTATGCATAGAACATTCAAATTCTGTCACTCTGTAAATCTTTTATTTAGAGGGAAAGGCATCAGCTTATATGTTTTTTTCATTTAATTTGGTTGGTAAGCTTTTGAATGTTTGAAGATAAGTATGTTAATATTAATCCTGTAGTCAAGAGTCAAAAGTTCTTATTGCATCATTAATTTAAAGAAATACATTTCCATGTCCCTGTCACATTTCCAGCTTGTTTTCTTCTGTCCACCACAGCTGCTGTCACTAGATGTTGTCCTTCCCATTACCAACTCAACAAGCTGAGCCCATCATTGAATTCAACATTAGTCACTTTGAGGTGGGGGGACTATGAATTTTTAGGTTAGTCAGTCCATCCAGGCATGCCACCCCTCTCCATTGATCTCTACCAATGTTCTGGCATGAAACTGTGCACCAGTCCACCTTTTCAGTAATTCCTCCCTCCACAGATCAGCTTGTCTTCTGTATTAAGTTCTACCACAATCCATTGTGTTTCAGTTCCACCACCCGAACAGGCTGTTTAACCTTGTCTCTGTTGTGTGTGGTGGCCATCTTTGTCTCTGTTTCTTTCCATTTGGTCCCAGTGCCTTGTGTATTGATCTGTTCCATCTGTGTTTGTTTGCCTTCCTGTCTGTTTGACTCTGTTTTGTCTTTCTGTTTATATCTGCATGTATTGACATATTGTGTTTGTGTATATACTTGCATGACATCTACTTACAATTTTCATGACACTGTTTGAATTTTAACTTTGGCTCTGGTAGGGCTGTTGGTTGACATTTTATGAGCCATTTTCAAGTCCATTAAGACAGATCAAGTTTTTCCCAAGCTGTCACTTTTCAAAGGTTTTTTCTTTTCTTCTACAGTTTGAAGTTATTCATGTGGTTTAAAGCTTCCAAAACCGTTTTGATAAATTTGAAAAGGCTTGGGACCCACTATAAATATTTGTAATGATTTTTCTCTCTTGATGGGCATCTTTCTTTCAATGTCTCTTCACCTTGGTTGTGCAACAGCCTATCTTCCGATTGTGCATCATTCTTCTTATGTTATGTTTTCATGACAATGATTATTTTGGTGCTTCCTTTTGTTATCTCTTCAGCAGTCAACAGTTTTTGGGATGTTCATTGCGTTATGTCGTCTCTTCTCTTCAGCCATCTGGTTTATGAACTTTACTTTTAAATTATTTTCCTTGTTAATTGCACTTATTTTTAACAAGCTAAGAGCTTAGTAAGCTTTAGCTTCAGAAAATTCTAAGTCCAACCATGTTAGGAATGTTAATTAATTTGTATTTC